AAATCAACCCCATGTACAGGCCAAACGCCCACAGCGCACTGGCGTAGAAGGGAGAGGGGGAGGAGGAGGAGGCAAAGATGGCTTTACTAAGTAGGGGAGGGGAGGGGTGGTGAGGGAAGGGGATTCTCAGTGCAAAAAGGCAAAACCAAAGCGCGGCAAAGGCAAATACAAGCAAACGCCATCGCTGTCCTGTCCTGTCCGTCGTGGCAACGGACACGGGCCACGGGTCCAGGCAGGGACATGCTACATGCCACATGCCACATGCCACACAGAACCATTCGACATTTGGACCGAGCTTGAAGCAAACTCGCCGTCTGCCATTGAAAGCCTTTTGATGGCAAATGGCGGCGTTGTTGCTGTTTGGTGGTGGAAGTGGAGGTGGTGCTTCTGTTGATGCTGAGGTGGTGAGGTGGTGCAGGGCAGTAACGGCGCGGCGCTCGGACTAAAGTTGTGGGCTGCGAATTGGACTTTGCAAAGGTAGCGAAAGAAACCGAAAGGACCAGCAGCCAGTACATCTGTGTCTGTGTGAGTGTGCGTATGTGTGTGTGTGTGTGTGTGTGTGTTTCACATGCTCTGGCAACGTCGTAATGGCCACAGTTGTTGTTATGGCAAAAGTTCGTACGTGAGGGTCGAGCCGCATACAGACGACATCCTTTCGCTTTGGTCCTTTTGCTGTTGCTGGCCGGGTCGTTTGTACATATTGCATCAAAGAAAAGTTGTGCCGGGCACAAGGACACGGACACACACACCCACCCACACACACCCACACACACGACCATACGCAGTCGCAGTGCAAATAATAAAAAACTGGGCTGACAAAATCGTTTCCTTGACTATGCGACGCCATGGACAACGCACGAGAAACCAGGCACACATACACACACATGTAACGAATATAATATATATATATATATATATTATGTGTGCGTATATATTGCTAATGCTAGACTCAATCCCCCACGTGCCGGCGAGGCAGCCTCAAATCCGTGCAGCCGGCCCAAACCCCTTACTTTGCAGTCGCGTTTATCAAGTCAAGACGCGGAAATTGGCTGCCATTTCGATCTGCCTCACACACACGCACACGCACACACACATACGAATCAAAGGATAACGCAGTTTAAGCATAACTGATAGCTTTGGTCAAGGCTTCGCCCATAGCTGCCAGCTAGCCCGGCAGAGCTCAATGCTATGCTTAAGCACTTGAATTATATTTCAAACTGTTTTCACATGCTCCAGTTAGCAAACAAAAGCTCCTCGGCATGGCAAGCCTTCAAGTCTTTGCTAAATAAGCCAAAAATTGTTTAAGAATTAGAAACAAATATATTTCCTACATACTCTTAACTTAAAAGTTAGAGGAAACAGATGTTCTATCCCAGCTATGCATCCCGATGCGATTAATCCAGCCACACAAATCAAACCAGGAAGAGTGCTCTAATCGAGGCGGCTCGACTAGCAGTTACCCTGAACCCGAGTAGAAGACATTCTACGATTCCCTTACACACACATTACAACAACCCAGGAGGTATACAAGATCCAAAATATGGACAACGTCTGTAGACAACTGGAGCCTACACAGTAAATCAGTACACAGCAGGCAACGCTTAAGAAACAAAGTTAAATTATCGATATTTATCGATTTGATAAGCTATCGAGAAAGATAAACTTGTATTGCATAAAGTATATACGAATTTTCATTTCATAATTCAAATCTCTGTTTTAGGGGTCAACGCGCTCGTACATACGGACAGAAGGACAGACGGACATGGCTAGACCTGATCCTGAACATACTTTATACTTTATGGAGTCTGCCACGCCTCCTTCTGCCTGCTAACTACACTTTCATGAAACCATCATGCCCTGAATTCTCATTTTCAATGGGAAATATTTTTAGCAATTGGAGAGCGTTGATATTATTGTTTTCCAGAACTGCCAAAGCAGAGGACTCTGCTCTGTAGCCTATAAAATATTTTTGTTTTCCAGCATTGTAATGGATTATGCTGTTATAGCTATCAGAGAATATTAGATTAGTCTTCAAAGATTATATTCATAACTCTCAATTCTTTAAGATAATCGTTTATCTTATCTTATTGGATTTGAAAGTATTTTAATTAAAAAATATATCATTTCTAGATTAAATTCAAATGTTATCAAATTGATTTAATACTCAACCAATGAAAACTTTAATTGTTTTTCAAACTCCCTTTGCTTATGAAACACACGTACAAATGCTGCTTGCTATGAGAGGCGAAGAAGCTTCCAGGCAAATGAGTTAGAGAAATGTTTATATTTAGCTAACTTGCTGGGCTTTTATGTAAAAGAGTTAACAGGAATCAGGCACACAGTGAGTCAAGAAAGACTCTCGGCTAAGACTATATGATATAAGCAAGGTAGAGTTCCTCTAAATTCTGTATAAGTGAAATTACTTTGGCTCTCTGCATCCATTCGACAGTCGCTCCAACCAGACCTAACGCAGTCTATCAAAAGCTGACTGCTATGTCACGGCAATTCGAATTGGAAATTATGAGCACAAGAAAGACGTTGCGATGTTGAAAGCTTGCTTAAGAGAGTTGCTCATGGAAGAACTTAGCTATTTGATATATTCAAACACAGATATGTGTAGCTAGCCATATATATATCCCGTTACTTTAGTTGTCGACCCCCTAGAATGGCCAACCAATTTAACCGCCTGCCGCGGCTTAAGGCAGCATAGTTAGTCAAAGTCTTGTACGACAACGAAAAAAAACCTCCTCTACTGCAGAACCACAATCTCCGACCCAGAAAGGAGTGGGAGTTGTAGCTGGAGCTGGAGTGAAGGGCACATCAGCAGCAGCAGCAGCAGCCTGATCTGTGTAAAAATATTAGTTCTGTCAAAATAAATTTCTTTGAGTAATGTAATCCCATTTTGTGGTCTTGACACACATACGCACGCAATTCTTTAAAACCTTCCTATATATATACTTTTCTTGCGGCCGGAAGTGCCGGCCGTAGTAACTCGACCGCAACAGCCCAGCAGCCACGCCCACATTTTGGGTCACATATCGCATCAAGCTGAATATGAATGCGATAAATCTGTTCGTGATTGTTTTTGCTGTCGCACATGTTGGGCCGGGCCCAACAAACAAACAGCCAGCCCCAACCACCTTCCCCTGCCCCTGCCCCAGCCGCCTGCCCTCCTCGTCTTTCACTCTCAAGGTGTCCACCACGTTTTTTTTTTGCCATTGCCTGCCTGGAAGTGCGTAAAAAATGGCAACGGAATTCGCTAATCCAGCCAAGAAACTGCTTGCTTGGGGGGTTGCCTGCGCTACGGACTACGGACTGGGGGCGGGTGTACGGAGCTAGGGCGTAGGGGGGTTGAGGTTTCAGTTCAGCTGTCCTTTATTACACTATTTCCCCGGCTAGGCTTGAGCTGAGGGGCAACGATTACGAGCACATGTACACACATGCCAGGTGGGTGGGTTAGGCGGTTGGGTGGTTGGGTGGTTGCGTGGCTAGCTGGCCTGATGATGACAATGTGTTCTGACAGCTTTTTGCGGCTGTGATTGCAAAAAATGAGCGACGATGACGAGAAAAGAACAAGAAATTGCAAAATTTTTGGCACACACGTAAACACACACACCCGCACACACCAACACACACACACACACACACACACACACATTTACACATGCATAGCCAAGCAGGCATAATTATATGGGAACTTGTCGAAGAGCAGATACCCTTACAGAGCTGTCACGTTTCAAGTTGAGAGATATGTATATGAATATATAGATATATAGATAGGCATATATCTTGCCTGCATCATACGCGATACAGTCGTAAGACCACGCGGTAAGGGCATTAGAAATCAGCGCACAAAATCATGTAGTCAAAGTCAAAGTCAAATCCAAAGTCGGAATCGGAATCGCAATTGTAGTTGGAGCTGGGGCCTGAGTCGGAGTTGGTTACACTCATAACGTGTCGATAGCGTCGACGTTGAAAGGGGCTTGGGGTTGGATTGGACTTGGCATGGGGTGTACGCAGGGTTGGGGCTCTATGGGTCACAGCGTGGCAAAGTAGAGTTGTGATTCGCGAACGCACATTGATGAGGCCAAATTTCTGTGATTCGTCATCTAAATAGGTTTATTCAAACATACACACGCACACATATTGCCGTTAAATTACAACGCATTACATGCACGCACACACACACACACACCCACACACATAGAGGCAATCATTTGCGTAAAAAAGGCTCGTTGCAATTTCCGACAGATGCCGCAAAAATATTGGTATAAAGAAAATATCCTTAAGAATCGTAGCAAATAGTTGAAAACATTGCCGAGAAAATACACACAAAATTCATTTAGTTTTCAAAAACTTCTGTAATCTCAATAAATTCTATTTCAATCGTTGCCTTTCTTATTGGAGTTCTTGCTAAACATGAGTTTGGTTCGACTTAAGCAATAGATGGCGCTTGTAGTCTAATTAGACAATTAGCTGTGTAATTTGTTGCAGACAATGACAGACAGATGGCTGCCATTAATGTGACATACTCTAAAATACACTAAAATAGAACTAAAAATTACGAAAACTTATTTCAGACTATGGCTATTTATTGAAATGTTCTACGTTCATCAAATTCCACCAACCTTTTAAATGTTCAAATTTTCAAAAGTCAATTAATAGGTTTATTTCAGACTATGGCTATTTATTGAAATGTTCTACGTTCATCAAATTCCACCAACCTTTTAAATGTTCAAATTTTCAAAAGTCAATTAATAGGTTTCACAGCAATGAACTGAACTGAACTGAAGCCGTCCACGTTTTCTGTCCAAATGTAATTAGAAATTCGTATGCCCAATAAAAACAATTAGAATTTGTTAATCTAAATAACAGTAAGTTATATTGTATTTGAAGTAATTATTCAGTGATCTTGCAGATTATATATACATACAGATTGCATACCAAATACAAGTGGAAAATAAAAAACAAATCAAAAATAAAAGACAATAATTGATCCAATGAAATGCGCCGTTTATTTATACAATGTTATAGCTATCATAATCAATGAAGTATCATTGGCGAGCGGCGAAAAAAATATTAGATGTGTGTGAATGTTTGTCTGTTTCATTGCGTGTAGATGTGTGTGTGTCTGTCTGTCTGTCTGTCTGTGTATGCGTGTGTGTGTATGTAAATAATGGAGGGGTTATTAAAACTAAATGCATTGAATTGTTTGTTTTCAACTGACAATCGACACAATATCGACACAAGCGATACGAATGTTAGGTAAAGCCACAAAAGTATTTATATACGGATGCAAAGACTGTAGGCTGAATGCTAAGGCAGCTGGCTGATGCTAATCCAGTTCCAATTGTGAAGTCGCAGCAGTTATGACCACCCGATCCACAAATATATGCCGGGCAGCAGTACAACAGGCCGACAGATAGACGGGCGCGCACCTTCCCTGTATATTGTATACTGAATGCTGTATGTGGTTAGCATTTTGGGAGCAGTTGCTGCGGTTGCTGCGGCTGCTGATGCGTCAAGGGGGTTTGAGGGGCTGGGCTGGGGATCTATTGTATGTTATCAGGTCAGTTTAGAGCGTTTCTTGGCAATGGCATCCTCGACGGCGCGCAATTGTTTGAGTAGCTCTTCGCGTCTTGATTTCTTGCCATCCTTGTCTTTGTCCTTGTCTTTCTCTTTCTCCTTCTCTTTGTCCTTGCCATTGTCCTTCTCCTTGTCAGAGCCGGGCGAATTGGTGGGCGACACTAGCGCCGACACGCCCACCATATTCGATGGTTTCTTAATCTCAATGGATATAGGTGAGCGCTTCTTTGCCGATTGTTCAGTGGCTGCGAGACGAACAAGGAAACCCAATATTTGGATCAGTTAAAGCATATATGGTATATATATATACACGACACTTACGTTTTTTGATTAGTTTGCGCTCGTTGAGCGCCTTGTCTGTGGCACGCATACGCTTCGCTGGCGTTTCGCGCGAGCCCGACGAGCTGTCCGACGAGGAGCTGCCGGAATCTGAATCCGAATATGAAGTGTCTGAGGAATCTGCAATGGAAAGTTCTAAGTAATTGTTCAGTCAATGGCTACACGACCCAAAATACCTGAATCCGACGAGCTGGAGCTTCGGCGACGACGCAGTTTGTCAAACTTTTTAGGCGTCGGAGATACTTTCTTGCGCTTAGAGGCGGGACTGTGAGCGCCGCCGCTGCGCTTCTCTAGCGCGGTGCGCTTGTACGCAGATGAGGTGCTGCCCTCTGTTGAAAGAACAAGAAAATCGTTAATCTAAATTCAATCTGGTTAAGTGATATGCACTCACTTGACGTGCGTCTTGGTCGTCGTGGTATTTGGCTGGGTGAGCGAGCACGTCCGGCCGCATGGCGACGCGATGCGGAGGCGGACATTAGCTTGTGCGAGTAGCGACGCTTGTGATCCGGGGCGCTGCTAGAACGTGACGAATCGGAGCTGGAGTCGCTTTGTGAGCTGTTGGAGCTGGAATAGGATGTGTTGCTGCTATAGCTGCGACGATCGCGGCGTCGCCTATCATCGCGCTCGTACGACGGACCGCGACCAATCGATTTCGAACGCATCCAAGGATCGCTCCATTCGTCACCCCGACCCACCGCCTCCACGCGCTGCACAATTACTTCACGCGCGGGCCGCAGTCGACGATCATCCTCGTACTGTGGCATACGGTGTGGCGGCAATTCCCGATAGCGTGCCATTCGACCATATACATCAACATCCTCATATGACATGGACGCCATATAGGGAAAACGATATCGGTCCGTCGGCTGGCCATACATTGAGTACACCGAGGGCAGGAGGGCGCGCGGATTTCCGTGACTGATCGGATTGTTTGGCGGCAATTCGCGTACAACGCTGGGCGAACTGGCACGCTCTTTGAGATAATACGGATCTTTTTCCAGTTCATCGGGCGAGAGCGTCAGATTCATCTTCTTATCCTCGAAGTCCATGTCCTGCTCCTTGCGCTTGTTCGCCTTGCGCATCATCTCTTTTGCGGTGCGCAGACCACGCTCCCACGCATTCTCTACCACCACCGGCACATCGGGCATTATCAGCCCGCTGCGCGCATCGTGATGCCCGCTGACACCAGCGCCACCTGCCGCATACAAACTGCCATGATGCAAGCCGGCCGCGCTCCGATGATGCAGCGCAGCGGGACGCTCGTTGCGATAGTCATGATAGTCACCGGCGGGCGGTACGCCGGCCATGTGGCTGTTGTAGGCACTGCCGCTGGCACCTCGTGAAGAGTTGCCAGCCCCGCTGCCACTTTGCATGGGCACGGACCGCACAAGGCTTTCAAACATTGTGTAATTGCCCTTGTCGGTGACACCCGGGTGCAGGAACCGACAGCTCATGCCCCAAGTGCATTGGCCTCGCGTATAGAAGCGACAGACAGGTTTTGGTTCTGTCTCCTCGGGCCGTTTCTCATCCTCATCGGATACCTCGCCCTCTTCGAGTTCTTCGTCCTTTTTCTTCTTTTTGGCATTGTCTGAGCCGGCTGTCTCGTCCTCCTCCGCATCCTCACCCACCTCACCGTCGGCATCGCCATCGAGCTCCACAACCTTGCTGTCATCATCCACTTGCATCGGCGAAGATTTTCCTTTTTTATTTGAGTCATTGCCGTTTGCTGTAGCTGCCGCTTTGGTAGCCCCTTCCGTCTCAGCGTCCGCCTCCTTCAGCTCCGGGCATTCGCCCTCCTCTGCCTCAAAGTCGAGCGCATCATCGTCATGTGCCTTGACCAGATCATCCAAGCCATTAGCATTCCCCGACTCCTGTCGAAACAGAATTTAATTGCAATTATTCCAATAGCCGCATAATATAGATAAATAAGTAAAATAGTATTGATACATTGAACCGAGTTTCGCAACTTAGAGTCCATTGCTGTAAAAACTGTTATGCAAAAGACTGGAATAAGTTATTTTGAGTTAAATTCGTGACCTTTGCGCAATCGATTCAATGTTATATCAATCATATCTACTCGCAATTGAATTGATTGTTACCATTTTATTATCTGTTGAGTGTTGGCTGGAGGATTTGTCTTCTCCGCAGCGACGGTCCTTGCCATTGAGGGTTTGGGTTTCCTCCATAGCTGGCAGCGAATCGTTCGAAATGGCGCCCTCGTCATCGTCATCGGCAATTGTGGAGTCTTTCGAGGTTGCCTGCTTCTCCATATCGATGTCGCTTACGTCGCTGAGATCCTCATGGCTAATGTTTAGATCCACTGCCACCTGGTTGTACAGCCGCTCCGGGCTATTACTGCGACTACGCTCCGATGTGGCTGAATGTATTTTGTTGGGCGAAATGGACACTTCGCTAGCAGCATCTGCGTCGTTGTCTCCATTATTGTTTGCCAAGGAAACGGAATCGGCATTGCCATCACCGTCGTCATCCATTGCAACAGCTGCTGGTGATGATGTTTTTGCCTTATCGTCGTCCTCGTCAGAGCTGGAGCTGCTGCTGCTGGAACTGCTGCTACTGCTGCTGCTGCTGCTGCTACTGCTGCTACTGCTGCTGCCGGAGCTTTTCTTCTTTCTCTTATTTCGGCTGGATCTGCTGCTGGAGTCGGACGAGGAGCTGCTGGAGCGTGCGCGCGCATCTTTCTGGGCACTGCCACTCTCATCGCCATCCGCATCTCCACCGATCCCAACGCCGTCGGCATCGCCATCGGCAATGGCATTGTCAGCGTCATCGCCAGGACTCGATTTCATCGTGGAATCCTCATCGTCAGCTGTTATCTTTGTGGGCGTGGATGGTCGCGAATTTGAAGGTGATTCTGACGACGACCTGGAGCTGCCGCCTGTGTCACCCGACTCCACGGTGACGCCCATGTCGCAAACAGCGCCGCGCTTTGCTCCTCGTCTATGTTCGCCTTGATTTTCTGCGAAGGATGGCAAAGATTAGATCGCGCAAACCAAGTCAAGTGCATTTAATATGTAGAACATTCGTTATCTTTTCAAATATTTTAACGAATCCTAAAAAACATGAGATTGGACTTCGGCGACCGAAGTTGCGGGTTTTCTTTAACTTTATCATTATTTTTTTTCATCTTGTAAACAGTTGTGCAACGTCGATCCTTCAAGGGTAATGAGCGAGGGAAGTCAGATAGAGAAGGAGACAGAGAGACAGATTGAGAGGAAAAGAGTGGGGAATGGAAAGGTGAAAAGTGGGAAACAGACACAGTTTGTCAAAAGATCTACTCTATGAACGGTACTCCGGAATGTATTCTATTAAACTACTCAACTCATGGCGTAATTTCGAATCACATTAAACTATTTCTCTCAAATTAATGCTAAAATCCATTTTCATCTCATTTGATTATATAGAATTGCGACAATTAAGAGCCCAGTCATATTCCCACTCTCCTAATATTTGCTTTTAACCATCTGCACTGAGTGCTTCCTATGATATCATGCTACACAAACCTCAATTAAACTAGTAAAATAATCTAAGAACAATATAGGCAATAGATATGAACAGATAAATGGAATAGAAGGAACACGCGACTTGGTTATCTAGATGAAAGTGCAAGAAGAAGAACCGTAAACATGAACCTGCAGAGGGCCTCTATGCAGTTGGTGTGCAAGGTGAAGTTCAGGCAGCTCATGAGTTAACGCTAAATGGATTCATATCGACTATTTCCTATTTTCAGCTGCCTAACAAATACAAATGCATTTTTTCTGTTGACTGTTTTTTGTTTTCATGTGGACTTTTTTTTGAGTAGGGAAAGAAAAGTTTGAACGTTAAGTTTTCTGTTCACTTTGTTAAATTCTTACCTTCATTATTGTACTTTTAATTTTTAAATAGTTTTTTTTAGAATAGTTTATTTTATTTGATGTGTGTGTGGTGATTGTTTACTTTAAACTCGTATATATATATCGACTTTACGCGAACGAAAGACAACAGAGAGCGAGCAAGATTTCATAAATTACTGAACAATTACTGAATAATACAAGAACTACGTTTGCTCGTGTCTCTCAGGGCTACAGATAAATGCAAAAAAGACACACAAACACACACACGCACACACATACACATAAATATAAATATACATATATGCATATGTATATAGTTAGACATATATTTACTTAGTTTATATACATATATATATATACATATTAGTATAAAAATATATATATATGCATATATATACATATATATGTATAAATATATTTATATATATATATATACACACATGGGTTACTCCGCATATGACATCTACATTTGACGTCTATATACGTTTTTAGTGTTGTTGGTATTTATTCTGCGGTATTTTTTGTACATTTTTTATATTCTCGCACTTTTCGCGACCGAAACAAGTTGTTATGGAAAACATTTAAACAATTGATACTGAACTAAGTCGCATCGCTAGTTTTACTCTCAGCGAAGGACTGGTGAGAGACGGGCGAGAGATTTCCGACTTTCAAACACAACTTTTTCACAGAAGTCACAAGTCTTATACGATTTTCGAAGCTTTATACATTTTGTCTTTGATGTAATTATACTTTTTTTTTGGTATTTTTGATGTGTGTAAACCACTTTTTTTTTATTTTTTTTTTTTTTTACTTTTTGTATTTTTTGCACTTACGTAGTGTTGGAGGGGAAAAATAGAATACTTGAAAATATATATATATCAATTGTTGGTTGCATTGCGAATGTGCACAATTTGTTGTTGTTGCTCACCTAAACGCAGTTGCCACAGCTGCTGGCGCCACTCCTCTCTCTATGGACACTCCTCGCTTGCTATTCGGCTTGTCGGGGCCAAAAAAAAATAAGGTCTATCAGCAGCAGACTCCGACTCCGGCTCCGGCTTCGTATAAAGTTGTATGAGTGAGTGCGTGAATGTGCCACAATGTTAGTGTGCGCTTATGTGTATGAGTACGCCGTCGATTGCTTTCGTCAATTTCTTTCTTTGCTTTCCCTGCGTTGTCCACGGGTTTCGCCTTGATTTTGCTGGCGGCGTTCAAAGTCTGCAGCTGGTTTTGCAATATTGCTGGGCCTGAATTGAAGCCTTTACCTGTTCCTTATTGAGTTTTATTAAATTTGTAAAATTGCCGTGCGACCTTTCAACAGAAATTCTCTTGTCACAAACGAAGCCGCCGCAACTGCAGAAAATATTAGGGGTGAGCGACGTTTCCTAGAGCTGCGCTCTATGGTCCTATCGCTTCATTGCATGTTTTGATTTGTCGCCACTATCGATATGTTTTTTCAATGTCGATATAAGCGGAATTTCAGTTACCAATTTAACAGCCATAATTGGCTGTGATATATTTTATTTATGTATTATTTGTAACCTATTTTAAGAGCTTTTAGATGAAATTGCCTCAAAGCTTTTATCGATCAGAATGCTAAATCTATTGTCAATATTCAATTATGTCACAACATAAAATATTGAAAACATTTGTCTTCATTGAAAGTTTTGTGTGGGTCATGTCAAGTAGCCTGTATCAGATATATATTTTTTATTGTGACAATTAAATTTTATCAATACATTTGGTAATCCAGAGATTCACTACTAAGCTATCGATGGTTTTGATGCTATGAGACTGCTGTAATTTTACGTAATCGATAACCGTTGTGCAGCCCTAGCGAAATGCAACTGTTGAACGAATCGTTACGTTGTCTTTCAACGTGTGGTGCGACCAAATCATTTTTTAAATGTTCGGCAAACGTAAGTCCAGCAGCTGTCAGATACCAGTATCGCCGGCACTATGCCAACGTCCCTGCCATTGCCATGAGCCACGAGCAATTTGATGGCTCCGCTCCCGATGCTAGCAGGTCTCCCCTAATCACAATGCACGGCCTTTTTGGCTCCAAGCAGAACTGGCGCAGCATAAGTAGAGCCCTGGCCAAACAGACCAATCGTCGCGTAAGCAAGTAAACTCCCAATCATTAGAGCCGTATGAAACTCTAACATCCACTTCCATTTCAGGTCTACACAGTAGACTTACGCAATCATGGAGACAGTCCACACACGAGCACGCACAACTCGCTTGGTATGACGGCGGATTTGGTTGCCTTCATGCAGGCCAAATCCATCAGCAAGACTTGTGTGTTGGGTCACAGTATGGGCGGACGCTCTGGCATGCACTTTACTTTGTCAAATGTATGTTCTTTTTTAAGCTTTATTCTCGTACCTGATTTTACTGAGGGTCGTATATCCTGTTCTTAGCCGAATCTTGTGGAGCGACTAATTGTTGTGGACATTTCACCGGTGTATATGCCCAGAACTATAGAAGATATGACGGCTATTTTTAAAGCCATGCAGGATATCGATATTCCCCCGAATATGTCATTAAGCCAAGGCCGCCAGGCTGCCAAGAAGAAGCTCGGAGAAACGGTTGATCAGTCTTCGGTTGACTTCATTTTGCTTAATCTGCGCAAAAAGCCATCAACTGGCGAGTAAGTTGTCCAATTGGATGTTGAGTGAAAAAAAAGTAAAAACCTTATTTGCCTCACAGATTCTACTGGGCTTGCAATGTTGATGTCCTGGTCAATAGCTTGCATGGCTTTACGCACTACAGCGACCACATCGCCGATTTGCCACCATACACTGGACCCACCACCTTTCTCTGTGGTACCCACTCACCCTATATGCAGTAAGTTAACTGACCGACATTTAGTGATGTATGTAAAACTGAAACCTCTCTCTCTTTCCCTCTCATAAGACCCGAATCGTGGCCCGAAGTGCAGAAAATCTTTCCCAATGCCAGCATCCATTGGCTGGACACGGGCCATTTGGTGCATCTGGAGAAGCCACAAGAGTTCATTCGGATCGTTACCGACTTCCTAAACAATCCATAAACAAATTCCCCCCCTTTAAACCAAATTAATGTTCCAATGATCTTGCACAAATTAGAGCGAGATGCCGAATAAAAATTTGAAACTAATGAAATACAGCAACTCGTTCACATTTGAAATGTAAATTTAATTCTCTTTCTCGTATTTGAATTCATATATAGTAAAGACGGCCTTTTAAAATATCTATACACATGTAAAACACAAAATCAAAAACATAAACAAAAACAATACAAATAGAATTGGGATAAACGTAGCTTAAATCGAATTTTGTATGCGATACTTGGTTTGATGTGTATATGTATTTCAAGTGTGTGTGCGTGTGTGTGTGTGTGTGTGTATGTATGTATGCTTAAATTACAATTAAAATAAATACAAATAAGTTAAGAGGGGGTCCTACTTGTGGTTGTGTTTGCAAGATAATCACATTGCACTTAAAAACTAAACAGTTTCATTAAAAGTAAATTTTGCTTTTTGTTTACACTTTTCTTTTTCTTGTTTTTGTTTCTTATAAATGAACACAGTTTGCGTGCGTGCGTGTGTGTGTGTGTGAATTTGTTTATCATAATAAATACATTAAACAGGAATGGTGGGTAAAACATTGTGCTAAGGCTAAAATGGTTTATTTTCCTTTAATATTTCCATGTTGTTCCTTGCTTTGGTTGTCGCTTGATGTGCGTGTTGTGTATGCATCTGTGTGTGTGTGTGTGTGTGTGTTGGTGAGTCAGCTTTAGTTTAGTTTTTCTTTTTAGCTCTAGGTTTTAGTTATAGTTTAGCTGCTGCATCAATTCTTAGCTCTCAGCGTAGTTAGACAATAATTCCACCATCATAGGCGTAGTCCGCCTTGTTGTGCATTACGAGTCGATTCTCCACAAAGTAAAAGCTGTCCGAGCGTGTCTCGAAGGGACTGGATATCATTTCAGCAACTGAAAAGCGTAATTAAATCAAATTAAATAGCCTCTGACCCACTTGCATGTGTACAGTACAGTGTGGGTTCGCTAGGTTGAGTAGGGCAAGGATTTGGCTGTTTATCTAACAACTTTTTATCAGAAATGATATATGAAAGCAGAATCAGGTTACATGCATATCAAGTTCAGAAAAAGAATCGGGGTATCTACGATTATTTATACTTTTGTTACTGCGGTGCATCACATCGAATGCGCACTGTACATGCATGTGCATGTGCACATGACCTTGACTTGCAGCTGGCAGCAGTTGCATTTACATTTGCATTTGCATTTGTAGCTGCTGCAGCTGCTGGGGGATGGGAGTTATTACTCACCTAGATCTGGCGGAAGATTTGGAAACTCGTAGATGTGCTCGCACGTATTTTTGGAATATGGAATGCAATAGCCGAACTCAAAGTCGAAAGTCTTTAGCAAGCGATCGCGGAAGAAGTGACGTTCAATCATGCGAAAATTGTTAACGGGCTGGCTGCCCACAGTGAACTCCACCCTGAAAACGCAGTTATATAAGGATTATTCGTATATACACAATATTCGGGCTTCACATACGTGGCGCCCACTGTCTTCAGGTTGAGAAAGGCTGGCGTGAATTGGTAGCGCACATAGCGTCCGGCATTGGGATCGGCAGTGTCATCGAGCGATAGATCCTCGGCGGCGGCCAGCATAGTGTCCTCGACGGATAGGCCATCAGGGAACTGCTCGCTGGGCGGCTTGGCTATCTCAAAGAGTACGGCGCCGCTCTCCAGGTCGCGTATCTTGAAGCGCGTAAAGTCAATTTCGAACACATTCGCATTCGCCGAGCACAAATAATCGTCCGTTATTTTAGTTAAATGCAACACGTCCTCCGGCGTCACATTGGACTCCTCCTTTCGCTTAGTGTCGCCAGCGCCGATGCCAGCGGCGCCACCAGCTGCTGCATTCGCACTGTTAGGCTCGCTGCTGCTGTTGCTGCTGCTGCCCGCAGCGACTGCAGCCGCCGTTGAGGAGGCGGCGACAGCGGCGGCAGAACTTGATTGAACGGGATTCAGTTGCTTGCCAACGACGCTCATTGCGCTCGCTCGCTTGCTGGTGGAGTTGTGCAAGGGAGGGATTTTCTCTACTGGGTCCAGCTGCTGCGTTTCAGGCTGCAAGCAAAATTAATTATTTTTAAATGATAATAAATTCGTATATTGTATTTATTTTGCCAACATTGCTGGGAAAACTAACCGAAGCATGTGCTCAAAGTTTCCATAACAAAAGGCAAAAAAAAATTTCGATCTCAAAAAAAAAAGAACGCGACCCAATTTCTGGAAAAGCTGCTTTTGTATTTGTTTTCCTGTGCTGGCCTGTCTATGTGTGTATGTGTATGTGTGAGTGTGTGTGTGTGAGCGAGTGTTTGCCTTTGTTGTTGTCTTAATGCCTTCCACCAGCAGCTGGTTGTTATTGTTATTGTTGCTTGTTTGTTTGTTTGTTGTTCCTGCCTGCTACATTCGCTCGCCCGCTTAGCACCTGTCTATGGCAAAATGCAACTCAATTTAATTTGTTGTCATTTTGTGGGTGTTTTTTCTTTTTTGGTTTATTGAAGTATTTTCTTGTAAATCAACGCGTTCACACACACACACGCACACACTAATAGCGAGGATAGTGTGTGGAAAATTGGCTAACTAATCGATAGATTTGGCTATCGATAGAATGCACTGTGGGCAAACTAGACTCATTTTTGCGTAGCGTTTCATGTTGCGCTGTTTGTCGTTAAGTGTGTACACACTGTTTGATGTTAGGGCGCGCATTTGAATTGTTGACACTCCAAGCATATCTGCCGTTTTTACGTTTTTTAAGGTTCTTTTGTTTAGTTAAAACTAAGTGAAGTGATTGATATTTGGAAGCAAGTATTAGGTTCGGCTTAGGTTCAACAGCTTGCCTGAGCAACTACTTGAGCGCCAGAAGCATCCGCGCCCGCGCTCTCAGATATATTCTTAGCATCAAGAGCACCAACCCAAGTGCTAAGGGCGCCAATGTCTGGATGCCTCCTGTCTGCAGTTGATCGAGCTGAGCGCGCGCGTCTGTGTGTGTAAGGGTACTACTTACCATTGTTGCTGTTGTTGTTGTTGGTCTTAAGTGGGTATTTTAATATTCGCAGCCAGGCAACAGTGTTGGGTTTCAGACCACATCATGATGCACTTATGCAGCGTCCGTCCTGGTTCTGCACCACACGTCTGTTCCATAACATTTTCTCTTTTATTTTTTTTGATTTTGTTTTTTTTTTTTTTTCGTCTTGGCGTCCACGTTTCCTGTGTGTTTGCTCGCCTGCTGTGTGCATGTGCCTGTGTGTGTGTGTGTGTGAGAACGTGTTCATGTTCGCTTCTATCTTTAGTACAGTTGACTGTGGCTGCCCGAGAGGCGACCCGATTCCCGATTTCCGACTCCCAACTCCCGATTTCCAATGCCGCGCAATTCGCTCGAATCGCCGGATTCGCCGACTTTGCCGCAACACGTCCCGCGCCCATTCGCTGGCTTCGCTCGCTCGCCCTGCCGTTTACGCTATCCTGGAAGGGTTAACCGCACTCAGGTCGCCAGCTCCTTGCGGTTCTTTTCCAATTTTGGTTCCACTTTACTAAGCAGGAAATGCAAGTGATGCAAATTTCGGGCACAGTAGTCGCTCGCTGCAGCGAATTCATAAGAGCTCAAATATAATCTATAATAAAAATTGATTTCATTTAATCATAATTTCATTTTCCTTAAATATCTGTTACATAAACTGAGCTCAAAGTGCTCCCAACATTGCTTTCAATTTACATAGGTTCAACTAAAAAACAAATCAAAAATAATTTATATAAAATTAATGCTGGAACTACGAGAAGAGAATATGTTTAATACGGTTTTTGTATTTAAGTTTATTAAAAATGAAATAAATTGAGTAGTTGCAGCTAGCCGGAGACTACTGTATGTGGGCAAAATATCGAAATCGAATTTCAGTTGGGATTGGAAACTTCGGATGCAACTGTTTGTCTATGGAACTGTTGAACAGCAGGGGGCGAGCGGGAGGTGGGGTAGCTTGTTGTTGTGTATGCTGTGGGTAAGCAAACACACACACACACACACACACACATAGACACAGGCACGCATCTGGCACGTTAGTTAGTTAGCTTCAGTTGAGAGCGAGGCGATTTATGGCAATGGCGACAACCCTGCCCCATGCTTGGCCCCCTCCTGTTGCCGAGCCTGCACTTAAGTGGCCCATGTGCAATATCTGTGTGTGTGCGTGTGTGTGTGTGTGCAAATGCCAGTTGTTGCTTGTGTGCGCCGTGGCTAGGGTAGGGTATCAAAAACAAACAAACAACACAAATCGTGGGCGATAAAATTCGTACTCGAGTCGCAGCGTCGTCAAACCTAAAAACAAGCAGCTAAGCGACCAGGGGCGTAAGCGCATAAAGAAGCTAAAGGGGGGCTGCAGGGGCTGCAGAGGGGCCGCACACCCGCACTCACTTGGTAGTGTGCGTGTGTGTGTGGCGCAGCATAGGCATAGGCTGTATAAACATTAAACACCCCCCGTTGTGCACGCCGCTAACCCGCTGCCCCCGCCAGTGCTGCCGATGACGTTATGTGACGGCTGTGCGCGCCGCCGAACGGTCTGGTAATGCGCGTTGTCGTCGTCCGCATTGGCAGCGCTGCATACGTGCATGCACATGGGGCTCACACTAGGCATGTGTGTGTGTGTGTGTGTGTGTGTGCATTATGTATTGTAACATCTACCAAGCTGCCGCACAACACGTTGCCCGCTCGTCAAAAGCGCCAACAACAACAACAACAACAACAACAAATAAGCATATAATCTAAATGGAATTCTGCTTCGCCTTTGCTTTGGCTTTGCTTCGCTTTGCTTTGCTGTGCTTTGCTGTGCTCTGCGCATTGGAACAATTTCTTAACCAGATACAGAGCTGCGCACCGCCAACTGCGACGCCAACAGCGACGCAAACGACTTGAACAACGCCGTCATCGCCAACGCCATCGCCATCGCCCGCGCGCCGACCCCGCCCAACACTGCCCGCCCATGCCCTCGTTTTTCGGCCTGCGCTCTTGTCGTTGTTGTTGCTGCTGCTGCTGCTGCTGCTGCTGTATGTGTTGCTGTTGTTGTGTGTAGATTTTTCTGGCGACAGACTGTCTGGCTCGACTCTGCCGACTCGGCCTGGGCTGACTGGCTGGCCTGTGGGCATTCGCAGTCGTCGCCGTACGTTTGTTTGCCTTTATATGGCAACTCTGTACATGCACGAGCTTCTGTGTGTGCATGTGTGTGTGTGTGTGCTTGAACTTTCATACGTTTGGCAGGGCATAATTGTTCTTGTTGTTGCTGGTGTGGCGTGCTGATATGGATTCTCTTGAACGCGTCAGTGTGTGTGTGTTCGTATGCATTGTAGGTATCCCAGCGGCGACGACGACGACACATGCACAGCTGGCATACATGCATATAGATGTATGTATGTATATGTAAATATATATGTGTGTATAATCATATACAATGCATAAACAAACGTCGAGCGCAGCGGCGACAGTGACTGTGCTTTGCCTGGCAAGGCAAGGCGTATGCATACACACACTCACACACACACACACACACACACGTAAATATTTACTTTGAATGAAATGCCCAAAGCTGCAGCAAAACTTCCAAGTCACAGCCAAAATACTTCACACAGAGAGGGAGAGAGAGAGAGAGAGAGCGAGAGAGAAATGTCAATCTGTCTGTCCGTTTGGCTAAGTCCAAGTCCAAGTCCAAGTCTATTTGTATGCACTTCCAACCCATAGTGTACGAAGCAACTACAAACATGGTCTTAACAGAAATAATTCAAATAAATACAGTACAGCCTCTATATAACAGCAAAGAAAACATATTTCAAATCATTCCAAAAAGAAAAAAAGTTTTGGACATTGGCTCAAAAATCGGCTTTATATATATATATGTGAACTTGATAAAGGACTTTTGTAAATATATATATATATATATATATATATATATATATATATATATATATATGAAAATAATATATATGATAATCAAATAAAAAAAACTCTATCAAATTGACATAGATATATGAACATAGGTATATATATATATATATATGTATGTGTGTATGTACACATACACACCATATCATATATATGCACATATACATACATACATGGGCAACACTAAGCCTAAATATATTAAAAAGCGTTCCCAAATCAGGAATATTCATATGTAGAAAATGTATGAAATTTATGAGATTAGAGAACTAAATTTCAAATCAAAATTTTCTATTAGAATTAACGATCTCACATAGGTCTTTGCAGTTATAATAACTTATTTTACTATATATGAAATTAGATATATTACTATACATGATATTAGATATATTAGATATTAATTTTTTGCTTTAGTTATATTTTTTGCATACTTCGATAGCAATCAAATCTTATAAACCCATATCATATGCCCGCAGTAGATAACTCTATATGCACACATATCTATAACTTGAAGATACCTTAAAGACTTAGATTTGCTCTGAAGTCATTTAGTGACAGCGCCTTTATGCATATATGTCTAAATGAGTAGATAGCTCTATAAGTCAGACTCCATGAGTTCATCAATGAACACTTTCTTAATTGCTAAGCAAAAAATTAGAACAAACATGCTAACTACAAAGATAATTAGTTATAAATATAAGCGTATATACATATGTATGGATATCAAGAGTTTATTCCCGGAATGGAGTTATATCAACTTAGCATTACTTGAGCTGTGCAGAGATTCGAAAGCAAAGCTTGCTGAAACATGGATGCTTCGTCGTTTGCTTGCACGCATATAGATCTATAAGGCTGTTCGTGTGCTCCTCTAATGGGCACTATTTGAGTTTCTAAGCCGAGTTGACAACTGGCGGGCTGTCATGGAGTGAAGTGTGTTTCAGCCAAACCGAGCAATGCCGGGTCTCCCTCGCTTCTATTAAGGGGGGAGGCATGTTGGCATTTGAATTCGTTTTGGAACGTGCTTTTGGTATGCAGGGCAGCGCATCGAATGTCAGATGCTTATCACTAATCTCTGGCACCTCTTTGGCAATCGCTGATCCGATATGGCGGCGATATAACGCCTACGAAACGGAACCGACTGTCTGATTTATGGCTATATGTATATATTATATGTATCTACAGACAAGCACTGCATTGAAGGCGCACTGCGTTGCCTCGCTATATACGATAGGTGCTGCATGCCACTAATTAGTATTGCGACGGTGTACCCATTGACACTATTCAGGGGTCGCCACCTGTCCCTCTCCGCCTTCCTGCCTCCCCACCCCCGCAGCCGCTATCTGTATAAGTTTGAGCGATTTATGGACAGCTACGTCTGGCTACTGTTTGCGATCCCCATTGCTATAAGTTAGACAATAATTGATATTTGAAATTCCATATGCCGCACGCGTCTGCACCTCAAATCGGCTGCCACTGATTTTACTTTTAAATAAGCCAAATAATGGACACCTGTTGAATGAATTACCAAAAATGCTGACATTTCCCTGCTTTACGATTCAGTCCCTCCTTCACTCACCCACGTACATTCTTTTGCCTTTCCCCATACCGGATATGGATCCATCCATCATATTCTACTGTCATCGGGTTCCACAGCCCTC